TTTCAGCTTTCTAGCTTTTCTGGTTCCCAAGTTAGCGATTTTTCCGCCAAAACTTTGAGGCGCTCGCACACGGAGCCCAGACGTGCTTGAGGGTTGGTACCGCGGTCCTGGGGTGGCGCTTGGCCGAGGAACTCACCCGCAAAATTTTGACGCCGGAGCTTGCTTGGGCGCCGAGTTGAAATACCCGGACAGACGCAAGCGCGCGCACACACACATACACACACACACCGGGGTCGTAACAATATGTGTTTTTGCATATAAGCAAAAAAGCATAAAAATCCAAGTCTGAAAATGAACTGAACGTTCATCTACATATTTGGACGAGGGCGTTCGTTCACTGCAAAACGCACTTTTTCAGTAAAGTAAAGTTGAGTATTTCTCGTAAACACCTGCAGTGAATTTCAATTCCAGTCAGAATTAAGGTAGCGATTGAAAGTAAATTACCGCACTGAAGTTTCAGCCTTGCACCTTATCCAATAAGCCACCTCGCCACAAATATCTTTGAAGTGCTTAAGTCGTGGCGCAAGTGCAAATCGGTACTCATTTTAGGTATACGATTTCCCATATGGCGATAAACGTGCTGACGAAATTGTTTTCAGGCAATTTTTCGAGTTAGCACAGTACTAAGTTGCAAATTTCTACGTGATCGTGCGCACGGTATAAGCGTGTGCAGTAGCTGAATTTGAAATTTTTACCTCGCACTTGCAAAGAGAATATCCCTGCAAAGTTTTAGCTCGGTGTCTTGTCTTGCTCGCCAAATCGATTTCCGTCAAAAAGTTTGGCATATTTTTTCGGAAGCTCATACGCGGAATCTAGGCACGCATGAGCGAAAATTTTAAAACGGAAGGATGACACACCGGGTAGGAATATTTGCCACATCAAATCCAACTTATAACACGCAAATTCTAATCAGACCGGCGAGAAGCAGAGAGCTGTAAAACGAAAACACAAATCACATAAGCGCATTTGAGAAGCACAGGCACTAAGGATGTTAATCTGAAATCTTTAAACTGTACTTGAATAGAGGCTCCCTCTCTCACCCCCAAATGCACGAAATTCAGCCAATCGATAAAAGATCTATACCGTGTAACCATCAAATCCACTTTCCCGGCCCCTTTGCTTGCCCTGAACGAAACCCGCAGCACGCCACTCCCCATCCCCCATCTCCCATCCCCACGTCTTTAACTCCAACATTTGAAATCCTGTTACTCATCGTGGGGTAACTTCACCTGCTATTGCCAGAAAAATTCTTCGCAAGTCGTGTATGACAGCGGACGAGCCGAGCCGAGCCGGATTTCGGTAATTGCCCTCAAGGCGACCGCTAAACCTCGGCCCAACCGGCGCCGCATACGATTTGCGAAATTTTTTCTCTATGATGGTGGATGGGGCTGTTCCAAGGTTAGTGGAGGCCGTTTGAATGTTGCAGGTTGGGAGGGGGTGCACAGTACCTACATCTCTGTTTTTTGCCTTCAAAATCACAAAAGCAAAGGCTGACTACCATCTTCATGCATCCATTCTACCCTTGGTTCAGTTTATATCCTACAGTGGTACTTATTCGTCCTCAGCTTTACCTAAGCATCATTTTCATAGTTAGGAAAGTAAGACAATTTAAAGACAATTTCCACACGCACAAGATCAGTTTTTTTGCTTTTATCCATGAGTTCAAATTTCCGACTTTGCTTTTTTGTTTGTCTTCTGGCTTCCATTCCTACGCTCAGGTTTGTTTTAGTTCGCTTTGTTTTGTAGTGCTGTGTTGTTTCTTTCACTTTACTGCTCTCTTCAGTTTTTGCCTCATGTATTCCCACCTCCTTCTCTGCTCTGTCCCCAAATTCTGCCTGCAAAACAACATCTGAGCTCCTCGTGGTTCCCATTGTAACAGCACTCTGACAACAAGCAATATTTCAGCCCTTTCCCTAGCTGGGTATCCATGGCAAGCATCAACAGCACAATTTCTCTTCCTTTTCATTCATCATTCCCCTCCCCCCTCCCCGGATGTATTTGAATTAGCTAGTCAACAAAGCATCTACCCCACGTAGCTTTTAAATCTACTCACCCCAAGCCTCCTCCTCCGCTTCAAACGGAACTTGCACCACCCCTGCCAACTCGCAACATTCAAACTGCCGTCACTAATTTTGGAACATCCTCGTTCACCATAACTGAGAAAAAATTTTCGCAAATCGTGTGCGGCGCCGGCTGGCCGAGATTTAGCGGTTGCCTCTAGGGAAATTACCGAAACTCGGCTTGGCTCGGCCGGCGTCATACACGATTTGCGAAGAATTTTTCTGGCAATAGCGGGTAAG